GCTGGGCAATTAGACTAGAATAGGTAGGCAGAGATGCAGAAAAAAGACAACAAAAAAAGATGAGACTCTTTTTGAAGTTCAGAATAAACTTTTGAAGCCCATGGCAGTATCTTTGGGGAACAAGATCTTTTTATTCACACAAGCCAGGGTCATTTAAACCTCCAGAGTGAAGGTCCCACCTAAGCGATAAATTTAAAGAATAAGTATGTGTTTTTGTCTGCTGCCCTGACTACTTAAGACCCAAAAACTTTGGAGAATGGGAGAAAAGAAGCTGGAGAAGAAGACAGAGTGACGCGGGTCTTCAGGAAGAGGCTGTGCTCTCTCCTCTGTCCACCCAGGTCAGCTCCAAAGGTGTGGGGATGAGACCCGCCTGCCCCGGCCCCCTGGGCTTAGGGAGCTAGAGTAGAAGGACCCTGCCATGTCTGTCGGGAGCCCTTGTGTGTGCCCCCTGTGCCATCCCAGCAGGGACAGGGGAGGAGATGTTATGACCTGGGCCAGGGGTGGAACCAAAGTGGCATGGGAAAACTAGGGAACCTTCTCGTGTTTCTGAGCCTGAAGCTGAAGTAGCTGAGACAGGGAGCCAGTGATCCAGAAGGTGTCACGGTTGCCATGAGGAGATGCTGAGGCAGAGAGCAGCTTGCTCATATGGCTGGAGACCAGGTGGGAATGAGGAATCTGGGCAGAGGGCCTGCCTTAGCTACACAGGATGCTTCGTGCGTGCTGTCTGTGTGGACCAGCCCTGCGTGTGATGCTGCTTCACGTCAAGAGGCACACAGAGTAGAGCTTCTTTAAGATGAGTGGAAGTACACCCAAGGGGCCAGATGATTGGGCTTTAATTCATTTTTCGCAACCCCCTCCAGGCTCACACTCTTGAATTCCTGTGCCTCCTCATTAACACCTGTGGGCCCTCATCTTGGACTCTGGTTCTAGGTGCATCCTTGCTAGGATTAGATGAGTCCCACTGCTGAGTTTGGCTGCTCCCTGATGTGCATTCATCCATGCCCAAAGCCTTGGCATCCTGTCCACCCGCCCTCTGCTATCTGACCTCATGCTGCCCTGTTTTTGGCTTCCTTGCGTCCGCCTTGGCGCCGACAGCTTGAAGGAACCCGCCCGACTCTGCAACCTGGGATAGGATATTTTCTAAGAGAAGCTCTAGCCAAATAGCAGACCAGGAGAAAAGGGAATTCTGGGGAGGAGCGGACTAGTGGTAATGGTGTAACATGTTTCTCTGGCCACTCTGGCTTGCGTGCAGGAAATAGGAGAACAGTAACAGCCACGGTGTCTCTCTTGTTCTGTCCTGTGCACTACAGGGGACCTCTGATCTCGCTCAAGTTCCTGGGTAATCCTGGAAGAACCCGGGGACCACCATATGTACACCAAGATCTAGTCTTCTTGACCAACACCATTTTCTTTCTTGTTTACTCTGGTTGCACTGGTACTGTCCCCTCATTGCTGGCAACCCCAGAAGTGCCATCTATGACCTTGAAATCTGCTGAGGGCCCACACTTGCTGGAACAGCCCACACCCAATTTGAATTCAACAATGTGAGTCCAAGGACATTCATGTCTGTGCCCAGGGCACTGGTGACTGGGTTGAAGGAATGAAGGTGAAGTGGATGCTGTCACAATTACTGGCAGTGATGCTTGTTGTGGGTTGAATTGTGTCCTCCAAAAGATATGTTGAAGTCTCAGGCCCTCATACCTGTGAATGTAACCTTATTTGGAAATAGGGTCTTTGCAGCTGTGACTAAGAAGTAAGTTAAGATGAGGTCATGCTGGACGGATTAGTGTGGGCCCTTAGTCCAATATGACTGGTGTCCTCATAAGAAGAGAAGAGACACAGGCAGACATGGGGGAGAACAGCATGTGAAGATGGAGGCAGAGTTTACAATGATGTGTCTAGAAGCCAAGGGATGCCAGTGATTGCTGGCAGTAACCAGAAGCTTTGAGAGAAGCATAGAAACTGCCCAAATGGCAGGGCTGCCAGCTGCTGCACGGCCCGTGCCCCCTGGGGTCCACCAATGTTACAGAGAAGTGCTCATTTTGCTTTTATTTGGTCTTTTGTTTGCACACCTCCTTGCCCTGGATCCAGGTACAAATCCCTGGGGCCGGGCCGAGGGGACATCTTATGAGTGATGACCTGCTGAGCCCAGCACACCTCACTCCCTGAGCTTCCCGGGCACTCCAGAGCCTGCGGAGGATTCTGTCTCCTCTTGCAAGGAGCCCTTTCCCCTCAGTAGCCCTAGCTGTACTCCAGGGTTAATGTGGAAAATGAGGAGGTGTGCCGGGCTTTTACACTTGAATTTTTCTAATTAGAAATGAACTTCTCCTCTGCGGAAACCTATACCCAGAACAGCTATTAACCCCTAGTGAGAGCCGATGTTCAGAAAAAATCAGAAATCAAAATATGCAAAAGAAAACATAAGAACTTCAGTCTAGCTCAGGGTTTACTATGCTGAGACCTCTCTGGTCCTCACCCTGCTGGCCTTCGGCTGGAGCCTCATCGTCCCCAGGAAGGAGGGTACAGGAAAGTGCCAGTAGCATTGACCCCTGAGCCAAGCTCCCTGTAAGGGGCAACCCCACATTTCTCTTCCGGCATCTGTGCACTTCGTTTTGTGGTCTCTGCTTGTAAGAGGCCCATAGCATCCCTCAGAGGGCAAAGACAGGTGAGGGTCAAGGTTAACAAGGCTGGGCTCTTCCTGATAGTCCTCGTAACAAGGACATTTGAGGGTCTTCACTCACATCACAGGGTTTCTAGAGCTCGCCTTGGAGGGTAATCATGGTGCAGTGGGGTGGGGGGTGGAGATGGACGAGAGCACAGAGCTGACATTTCCAACTGGGCTGGGGTCCAGAGCAGGCTAAGTGAGCTGGAGACGGGACCTGTTGGTCCCAATTCAAGTATCACTTCCAAACTTTATTCATTAAACATGATCGCTTTAAAGACCTAGGGCAAATTTAAGGTAAAGCCAGCGGCCTCCTTAATGGGAATGCTGTGAAACGGACAGTTCCACAGCAGCAGCCACCGTGGCTGGGAGCGCAGCTGCTCACCCAGCCTTTCCCACATTATGTTCTGGGTGGTTCCCCTCAGAAAGACAATTCCACACAGTAAGTTTAGGACAAAGGCAGTGACTAGGCTGGTTAGAAGACACCCGGGAAAGGAACTGATGATGATGATGATGATGATGGGCTCTCAAATGTCTCCTCCTGTGTTTCTCTTATTTTTTTCCTCCTTTTGTTTATCCTCCTCCGCAGACACTCGCTAACCAGAGAGAAAAGCCCCGACTGAATGACAAACACTTCCTTGTGCCAAAAAAAGAAAAGCGTGCGCATGTTTCCAGCAAAACCCACTTGCTGTTTACACTTGGGAAGCATCCTATCATTTGGGAACAGCTTTGCTCTGAAACCTTTCCCCTCGGCCCCTTTCTCCACTCCTTTCCACTCTATTTTTCTGTTCGCTTTCTAAATGGGGGCAGGGCAGGGCAGTGGCAGGGAGGGGAGAAGGAATGAAAGAAGAAACCACAACCCAGAACAGGCTGCTTCCAGTAAAACTATCTTCACGGTCATGATCTGTCTTTCAGGGAAAAAAGTCACCATTTTGTGCAAATGCAATCTTTGCTTTGCCCCACGCCAGACTGTGAAGAGCAATTTCAGGTGTGAGTAAACCTTTGCAATGCTTCACAACAATGGCCTTTGCTTCAGGCTGCCACCCAACAATGTGACTGGGACTCTAACTATCGCCCCCACACCCCTCTCCCCTTGGCCCGGGGATCAGGGTGCTCTCCTCACCCACCTGTTTTTCTGGTAAGGCCCTTGTGAGCTGGCCTCACTCTCCCTTCTCTGATAGCCCTCTTAACAAGGACCGTGGGCTGGAGGACATTTGAGGGGCCTCACACCACAGCTGGTAAAGCTCACCTCGTCCAGGGCCTTTGGATGGTTCCTGGTCTCCTGGCTCTCTTCCACCTCAGGACCGAAGACTTGCCAGCAGGGTACCGTCCCCAGACTAAAGACTGCTTTGTCCTTTTCTCTTTGTTTGGATGTCTATGTCCCAAAGGGATGATATCTATCCCAAAGTCCTGGCCAAATTTCTCCTGGGGTGGGTGGGTGGGTGGGGAGGGGCCTCATGTAAATGAGGCTCCCATTCCGCTGTCCTGGTAGGTCAGAGCTCCCCAGTGGGTAAGCAGGTCTACCTTCTCCCAACTCTCAGGCTCAGGGGCGGAGAAGGGGCGATGTTTTAGCGACTACTTCATCTTTCCCTGATCCCTGTCCGTCATAAGCTCCTTCAGACTGATACAGTTGTGCGGTACGCCACGTATCGAAGCAATTGTACAGTGCATGTAAAAAAACTGAGGAAGATTTTCAACCATCCTTCAAAAGCTTGTGAAGAAATAACAAATGAGCTTCTCCTCCAAGTTCCTCAGCTGTTCTTCCCAGGCAGCGAGGACTCTGATTTCTCGTGGCAAGTGGTCACTTAGAATTGGGGAAAGCCTCTCACACCCTGTCCTGGTCCTGGAGAGAGGTCTGCTAACAGTGAGAGAGCCATGGGATCAGAAACCTCTCTAAATCTAAACTCTGATTTCTTAATTTTACAAAACAATGTTCTCAACAGAAAAGGGCAAGTATATGACTAATAACCCCAAGGCCTGAACTCAGACCAACTGTGTTCCATGTTATAGAAGCTTCAAAGGCCAACACACGTTATTAGTAAAACTCCAGCTTCAATCAGTGGGGACTGGGGTTTCTGGGTATAATGCAAGTAGCATAGAAAAAAGGAAGCTCACAATGATTAGGGAAAAGATTGATATTTGTATACACATGAAGATTACGTATTATGAAATAATATTTAATAAATAACAATGAATATATTATATATAATAAATATTATTACATATTTATTACATAATATTGCTAAATAATATTAAACACATTTAAATTATCTATGTGTACATACTTCTCCAAATTTCTTCTTTTTTTGCTAATAAACCCTCAGCTAAGATCACATCAGGTGCCAAGGTTACAATATTAGCAATCACCTTGGAAGTCAGAGCACAGAAATGACCCCCCAGCTGGGCTGTTCCCTGGGACGAGGTTTTCCTTTTCCCCAGATCAAGCAGCTGCAGAGACTCTCAGGCACTCAGGGACCCTGCCAGGCTTTTCCCTATCTCACCCGGGAAGGGGGCTACAGGACAGCCCTGGGGCATGTGCATGGTGGGTGGCAGCAGCAGAGGCAGGAGTAACGCCTGTGTCCTGCTGGATGGAAAATGAGGGGGTAGACCCTGGCCCCCAAGGACCACCTGTGGAGTGAACCTGAGATTCTCAAACTGTGTTCTCCATCCTCGGCTCCTCCATTGCGACCAAATGAGGCTGGGCAGTGCCTTCAGTGACCTCAGCCCCAGCAGCGGGAGTCTGGGATAAACGCCACGGTTGTCTCAAAGGACCGTTCGACTTCCATCTCACAGAACTGATGCACCTTCCTTGCAGACAGTTGCTAATTGGTTTTCGACTGATGGCCGGTGTTTACGTAGCAAGAATCAGAACCGCAATAATAACGATTCAACATCGACTAGGCGACTGTGCGCAGCGCTGGACAAGACACGGATGTAAACAGATGCTCCCTGCCTGCTCAGCTTGGTACCCAAATAATAAGGACAGACATGAAGGGCTTGGGAAAGGCATGAAGATTCATGAAGTTCAGGATAGGTGGTAAGAGAAATAAGCATTTCGCGTTGGGTTGAATTTCTTCGTGCATTTTGGGGGCATTTTGTGCTCCATGATTGGGCTTCTGGAAAGAGCGAGTCTAGGGAAGGAATCTGAAGGTGGGTACGATTGGCTAGAATTTGAACTCCATAACTGCGACTCTAATTCTGCAATCAGCTCGAGGCTCTGTTGCCTGCTCTTGCCACGGAAAAGCTATGCAGCACAAAGCCAAGCCGGATCCGAAGTGGGTTAGGGTATTATGTAAGCCCTTGGCGGGAGGGGAGATGGTCTTCTACGTGTGTTCCTTTTGCAGCAGCGGCGGCAGCGGCGGCGGCGGCAGCAGCGAGTGGCTCAGGTTGATTTAGAATACGGATGACAGTGGCCTGGCGCGAGCCCACGGCTGACGAAAGCTGCTTATCCCGCTCGGTTTCCATGGCGACGGGCGCGAGCAGCGGCGGCGGCGGCGGCGGCTGCGGCGGCGGCGGGGCTGTCAGCGAGCGCGGCGGCGGCGGTCGCGCGTCCGCGGGGGTCTGCAGGAGGAAGGAGGAGGCCGGGGCCCGGACCCTCGCGGCAGACATGGACTTGCATTGTGATTGTGCTGCCGAAACTCCGGCCGCCGAGCAGCCGTCGGGGAAGATTAATAAAGCTGCTTTCAAATTATTCAAGAAGAGGAAATCGGGTGGCACCATGCCCAGCATATTTGGGGTCAAAAACAAAGGGGATGGGAAAGGCTCGGGCTCGACGGGAATGGTGAGGAGCAGGACCCACGACGGGCTGGCCGAGGTGGTGGTGCTGGAGAGCAGCAGGAAGGAGGAGCCGCGCGGCGGGGGCGACGGGGGCGGCGGCGGGGGCGGCGGCGGCGGGGCTCGGCCGAACCCGGGTCCCCCCAGGGCTGCCGTGCCCGGCGTGGGCTCCCTGGCCAACAGCTCGGTGGCGAAGTCACACAGCTTCTTCTCCCTTTTGAAGAAGAACGGGCGATCCGAAAATGGCAAAGGGGAGCAGGCAGATGCAAGCAAGGCTGGCGGCAAACAAAAGAGGGGGCTGAAAGGGCTCTTCAGCAGTATGCGCTGGCACAAGAAGGACAAGCGGGCCAAGGAGGAGGACAAGGGGGAGCGCGCGGGGGCGCCGGGCGGCCGCGTCCTGGTCCTGCCGGGGTCGCTCACCGCCAGCCTGGAGTGCGTCAAGGAGGAAACGCCCCGACCCGCCAGCGAGCCGGAGGAGCCCCGCCAGGACGCCCCGCGGGGCCCAGCAGGTGAGCCCGGAGGGGGAGAGCCGGCGCCGGCCGAAGTGCGGACCCGCCGAGAGGCCGAGAGCCCCGGGGTCCCTCACGCCGAAAGCGCCCGGGGAGAGGACGCCGCGGGGCATCGGCGCGCCGACACGCCCGGGGCACCCCCCGAGCTGGGCGCTGCGGAGGCCCAGACGGCAGAGGATGCTTCCAGGACAGGTGACGTTCCGATAAAGACCGTCCCCCCTGTCGACTCCGAGTGCGGCAGCGGCCGAGCGTCTGCCGTCCCCGACCCCTCCTCTGTCGACCCACCCTCAGACCCATCGGCCGATCGTATTTGTTTGATGTTTTCTGACGTGACTTCACTGAAAAGCTTTGACTCTCTTACAGGCTGTGGAGATATTATTGCAGACCAAGAGGACGAGGCAGGTCCCAGCTGTGACAAGCATGCCCCCGGGCCAGGCAAGCCAGTTCTCTCTAAAAAGAACCCCAGCGTGGTGGCCTACCAAGGAGGAGGGGAGGAGATGGCCAGCCCGGATGAGGTGGACGACACCTATCTCCAGGAATTCTGGGACATGCTGTCCCAGACTGAGGACCAAGGACAAGGGCCCCAAGAGGGAGCGGCTAAGGCAGCAGCAGCAGCACTGGAGACCAAGGTGGTACCTGAGACCTCCAAAGATGCCAGGTGTGCAGAAGGGGCCAAGGACGTGTCCTTGGTCAAGCGCAGGAGGCTCAACCGGATTCCCATTGAGCTCCAGCCGAAGGAGGAGCCTCAGCACCCGGAGAAGGAGCAGCAGGAAGGAGTCCCCAACAGTGACGAGGGCTACTGGGATTCCACCACCCCTGGCCCAGAGGAAGACGGCACCAACAGTGGGAAAAAGGCGGGCATCCCCCGGGACAGCTACAGTGGCGACGCCCTCTACGATCTCTACGCTGATCCCGACGCGAGCCCGGCAGCCCTTCCCGCCAACGAGGAGACGTCCTGCGTGTCCCGGTTAAAGCCTGTGTCTCCAGGCACCATCACCTGTCCCCTGCGAACACCAGGCAGTTTGCTGAAGGACTCGAAGATCCCTATCAGCATCAAGCACCTCGCGAACCTTCCATCCAGCCATCCCGTAGTGCACCAGCAACCAGCCAGGAGTGAGATGCCCAGAACAAAAATCCCCGTTTCCAAAGTGCTGGTCCGCAGGGTCAGCAACCGGGGCTTAGCTGGGACCACCATCCGCGCAGCGGCGTGCCACGACAGTGCCAAAAAGTTGTGAGGTCTCCGAGGCCAAGGTGGATGGACCACATGTCAAGGAATACAACTTTCCCTGGAAATCACTAAAATAAGTTTTGTTTCCCCTAAAGAAAGGCTTTTAGGACGTCCCTGCTGCAGAGCCTGGACTGAGGAGGTCTTTGTGCCGCCAGTAGGGGCAGGATCCACCCGAGAGGGGGAGCTACACATGGGATTCTCCTCTCAAGATAAGTCCCTGAGAATTCTTTTCAAGCACTTTTTCTTTTTTACCTTTTTAAAAATCTTTTTTCTTTCTTTTTTTCTTTGATGCACTGAACACTCAGAGGCCACCTTTACTTGCCTTTGCAGAAAACAGGACATAATCAAACCTAGGTAAGCACCATGCCGTGATATTTGGCTGCCGTGGTCCACAGAGCCTGGAGGAACCACTGGGAGGACCAGAGGGGCCCTCCTCTTCCCTGATGCTTTCCTTCCTACCTTATTTTCCTTTTCCTTTCCAGGAAAAAAACGACCCTTTGTTGTATCACTGTGTGGGAAACACCTACAAAGGTGAAAGAGCCAGGTATTTACCTGAGGAGCAGGAGGGGGATCATTGATGGGCAGAAAACTTGCCTTCTTTCAGTTGCTAGGTATGCAAACAGGTAAATACCGACCACTAGGACAACAAGGGAGAGTCTGGGTTGGTTGGTTTAGATCATTCCTTTGGCGAGAAATAAAAAGCTCAGCAGAGCACGTTTTTCCCTTTTTTTTTTTTTCCACCCAGTGCAGAAATCAGGATCAGGGAAAGATTTCACTAAATGCCAATAGCCACAGTATTTTAGCATTTATAAACTCTGTAACCTTTTCATGTGTAGATAATGCATATTTTACAGTTTATTCAGCTGTTAACATTTTATAATCTGTCAGTAACCTCAAGTCTAAAATCTGGTTTTATAGCTAGATATGGTAACTGTCCCCAAACCATTGATGTTCTTTTATGTGCTGTGACCAGAAGCAGTTCTGTTTTGTTTTATATGGGTTCTCTGGCTCTCAATGCAGAAAAAAAGATCTATTGTGTTGATGTGTCAGAGGAATGGTTCTGCCTTGTCTTGGGTAAGGGTCTATTCGTTTCTCACCCCCAACCCTGGTGTTCAGAAATTTGACCTTGGTTATAAAAATTTTGGATTCAACCATTCCTCAATATGGGGAGTCCAAAATGAGGAACACGTAAAGAAAAACAATAGAAAACTATAGTTTTTCATGTTATCGGACTTTTGCTTTATAGACTTGTATCTGAGACAGATATGTTCAGAATATGACACTGGCAAGCTTACGTATCCTAAACACTTTATGCCAAGATTTTTTTGAAAAGTGGTTGACTTTGACACATATTTTCTATTATTTTAGATAAAACACTTATTTCAGAAAGGGTTACCGTATGCCTACTTGGAGTGATACACTGAACCAGTGCCTAAAATGCTATTAGTGCCCCATGATTATATCACATCCTCTTTGAAATGCACTTCAGTGTATTTAATCAGAAGACCGGGGCCTCTGCTGGGAGGTGCCTCACAGTCTCAGGAAGGTTAGACACATTCAAGGGGAATTACACGCATGTAAATGCCATAAGCCCTTCTATGTAACTCTAGTTTTCCAGAGAGATTGCCCTAATAACCAACTGATACTACCTTTGCTTTTAAAGTTTCTTCTCTGTTTTATAAAAGAAAGAATAAAGCAAGTTGAGTATATGAAAACCTATTTTAATAATATGGAGGAAGTAAGAAAATGAGCAGGCGTCAAAGGAAAACAGATTTGAGCCAGTAGCACAAAGCAGGTTGTTCCTCATTTTAAATTTATAATGATTTGATTAGAAGAGGTGGTAGAGATTTGCTGAGTTTCTTTATTAGTCAGATTACTGGCTTTTATTGCTTTGTGTCAGATCCTTAATGTTATTACAAAGTAATGTTTTAATGTTGAATTTTCTTATGTCGGTAGATGAAGTCCTGTACTCAGACAGAAGCACTCTGAATACACCACCAGGAACTCATACAGTAACTCACACTTACACGTGCCCATGCACTCAGCTGTGCACAAACCAACAGACAAAGGCAGCTACTGTAAACCCAGAAATATTTTAGAAATTATTTCTGTCTTTAGAAAAGCAATTTAAATTTGATTTAACACTGATAGTACTATTTAGACTCAAAATACATTCATTTTTCCCTAGTGAATGGAAAGAACATAAATTTTATTCCTAGCTATAAAACAAAGGATCTTTATTTTCTTCTTGCACACTTTCCTGCAAGGGTTATTTTCTTCTCTGCATGGATTCTTGACAAAGTTATATTAGTTCATTTGTTCAATTGTACAGGAAAGTTAAGAGTATCTGAAGTACTAATGAGAATATTGTAATAGTACAAGCGGTCTATTTACTTGTTTTGTAAGCACTGGAACAAACTATTTTTGCTTTCACAGCTTGGGGACTTATTTCTGCATTTACACCACTATGCTGTGTCTTCTTTTCTAAGTAAAGGAAAATGTCAGCCAAGTTTATTTTACTTTCTCCTTCCTGTCAACCGGTTAGACAAGATTTAAAATGTTTTCTTTTATAATTCTTTTCTTCATATATTTCCCACGTTTTTTATTCTATATCTTTAAGAATTCCACCCACACCAGTCAAATGAAGAATTCAGGCAACGAATTAAAGGGCCTCAATCGCTTGATGGGAAATCCGGGCCAATGCAAGAAGAGTGTGTCTTAATCTTTTCCAACCATAGACAAGGGATAAAGTTGCTTTTTTGTGCCAAGGGCTACTTTCATTTACGTTTGTGAAGACTCTCTTTTAGAATTTTAATAGATTTACATTCCAATTATTAATGCATTATCTAATTTGGCCCTATTTGCTGATATTTTTAGGGAAAGGATTGGATATGGGCTGATGACAAACTTTCCTGTGTATATATGATTCTGAAATACTTGGTTGATTAAGTCGCTTTAGGCAAAGAGCTGGCCAGTGTAGAGAGGAAAAGTCAAATCAATTGTTGGCCCTGAATTTATCGGTCAGTTCAATAGCTCTGCATGAAGACAGCCTGGCTTTAAAACCTCCATCGCACAGACGATGTTTCCTGACCCACTCTGCTTCAGCACCAATGGCGGTTGATGCTTTTAATCTTCCATTAGCACCAACTGGGAGAAATTTTACCACAGCATTTTTAATAATTGCAGGAGGAAATAGATTTTTATTATTTCCCCTAATAAACAATGGAATATAGAACATTAGGAACTTCCTTTAGATACATTTCCACAAATTATCTGCCAATTAAAATACAAAGTGTTGAATATCTGTGAAAATGATGCCTTTCTGAGTGTAAAGGGTTTACTCAGTCTCAGAAGTAGTTTTCAAGTATTTGCACTTAAATGAATATTCAAATAACCCTTTGCTTACACAGTTGTCAAGGTAAAGAGACTGTATTAGGTATCAAGATTTCTTTGACTGAACTTTCTGAGTTTTCATTATTTACATCTTTGTCAGGTTAAGTTTTGGAGACTTTTTACTGTCCACTTCTTTTGGAGAGATTGGGTAATGTGCTCGTGGTCCTCTCCCTTTGTCTCCATGCTGTTGGCTTAGTGCCCTTGGATAGCAGTACTGGGACCCTTGTCGCGATGGTAGTGTGTTTTGACACTTCTTAGTGGAACGTCTTTCCTGCTTGTAGTTGTACCAGACTTCTCTCCTGAAGTGTGACTATCTGGGCTTGGCCCCTGGGCCTGGCTTCCGCTGAGAAACGTTCCAATACATTCACATATACTTCACCCCCCCTTGTCATTCTTAATAAATTAATTCAAGAATTTTATTCTCTTAAACAAAGGAAAAGCATTGCTGTAGCCTCTTACCACTCCTGATGACCTGAGAATGCTCAGTTAAAAGTACCTGGGTGAAATAAGAGGAGAAACCCAAATACCTTGGCCTAACCCCCCTTCCCTCCCCCTTCTCTAGGCAGACCAAGGGATGAACACACTTCTCATTTGTGTACACTCTGCCTTAGGAATTTTGAATTTGTTATCCACAAATATTTATAAAACAGTTTGAGACCAAAAGGCTAGTATGGCGGACTGGTATTTTCTATGTAGCCATGTGGGGAAGCAAGAGGCAAGCTTTTACCTCCTAAAAAGAAGCAGGCTACAATATTGTCAGGTGGTAGGCAAGTGTGGTCCTTTCTTAAGGGCAGTCATTGACACTGTGACCCGTCTTGCTCTGAGGATGTTCTGACGGCTGTCGTGGATTGCTTCTCAGAGCCTTTTCACTGTGATGATGATTTAAACAATAGCCACTTATAAAGAAAGTTATTATCTCACTGCAGATAGTGTCTTTAAGGAGTCATTCAGAATGCTAGTTTCATGATTATGGAAAGGAGTTCCTTCTCAAACTGGAAAAGGAAAGATTGAACCAGTCACAAAGACTCCAGGTCTGAAACTGGGCACATTTTATGACTGCTATTTACTTTAATTCAATGCAACCCATATTCCTGGGGCATACACTGTACCTAAATTTTAAGAAAAGCCCATTCAGTTTGGAGCTCACACATAGCTGTGTTGTAATTGGACTTTCTTAATATTTTTTAAAACCATCTTGATTTTATTTTACCTATCTTTCTTTGTTTTGTTGCTTATAGTTTGTGGGGTGGAGCAGAATGGCTGAGGTTGAACACGGGCGATGTGGATTAAGCCACACAAATTCCTCTAAAAATAATAATTATCATAACAATGATTAACATTTATCAAAGACTTAGTAAGTTCCAGTGATTGCTAGGAGCGTTACAAATATTTACTTAGTCCTCTTAACAGCCATGCGAGTTAGGCAAAATCTCCCTAATACGCCATCTTTAATTCACCTTTTTTGTTTGTCTCCATCCCATTCCATCTCTCGCTCTCTTTTCCCCTAGTCTTTGCGGCAGGGATGGAGAATCTTTAGTGACTCATGGTAGTAGGGAAGCTAAGAACTGCTTAATATCTTTCAGCAGAAGCAAAGCTAACCTATGTCAGAAGCTGAAAATGGTATTGTGTCCAAGACCGTGGTGCTCCCATTGCTCACAGGGAAACCTGCCACTGTCGCACAGTTAATGGGCTAACAATCTGCCTTCCTTTGGAGGCTCCTCTCTTTCTTGGGATTAACTTCAAACGTGTGGACAGAAATCTCTTCTGCTGTCATGGAAGCACTTCTTCCCTGCTGGGATGTCAGTCATTCCAAGCACCCTTCACTTGTTGCTTTTCCAACTTCAGCCCAGTCTAAGCTTGTTCTGGGTGTTCTCTGTTATTGTTTGAATAGGAGCAGCCTGGGGAATCCCTGGCCTGGATACATTTCTGAGCCTCAGACATAAGCTCCTGTCTCTTTCAAAAGTAGCGCATCCTATGTTCTGTCTACAGCCATTGAATCCTGGCCTATCTTTTCTGATTCATTAATTCGTTCAACTAATATTTGTCGAATAGCTACAAATCGGTCACCATGAATTTGAGTATTTTATATTAAATTAAAATTAATGTGTTAAGGTAAAATCCTGTGTGTTTACGCCGTGCCGGGATGACGCTGTGTACTTGCCTTTGCGTTGCTCTCTCCGCTGTTCACAAGAACCGTGCAAGGTGGGTGTTGGCTCCACTCTACAGAGGAAGAAAATGATGCTCACAAAGGTGAAATACCTTGTCCAAAGTCACCCATTTAATAAGAACGGACAGAATTTAAACCAGAAGTCTAACTCTGTAGCTCATGCTTTAATTATAATCCTTTTTTGGCCGTAGGATTCAATCTTTGCGTAACTTGTTTTACGTAACAAACTGATCAAAGTTCTGAAATGCAAGAGCCAAACCAGATTTTTGATTGTGGATACCGTTAAAACCATGACTAGTTTAGTCAAAGGTGAACTTGGTTTTTTTAAGAAAAATTACTTGATGGCTTTTATATGTGCAAGTCTAGAAGGTAGATCTCGGAGTCTAGCAGGTTTTTTTTCTCACCTGGGCCAGTCAAAATTTTGGACCATATTCACCAATTATTTTAGAGTTACATACTGGCAGGTCTACATACGGATTTTATAATCTGATGACGCTTTGTCAATAAGAAAACCAAAAGCAGTTTCAGGAGTGAACTCAACAGATTGCTGTCTGAGTTTTCTTCCACTCTGATTCTCCTGAGATGCCACTCTCAGCATTTAGGGAAAATCCGTTTGAAATTGCATCACGGTCACAATTAATGAGGTTATTTTACTAACACGTGGGCTGCCTACACTTGGTAAAATGCTTTTTTAATGAATTCTACATTTCATTTTAATGGGAGGTAATAGAAGATTTCAATAACAGATGGTCATTCTACTGAATTGTAAACTGGGGTAATTTTTGGAAATTATTCGGTGATTGGGTAGAGTAACTCTCTGTTCTATGTGAGAAGATCCATTTTTAATAAGTTACTGGTTATTGGAGACATATTAAACTTTCCCACATACCTACCGAATCACTTGGTAACTCAAGCTGAAATACTAAAAATATCGGGTCAAATTGCATAGGGACATAGAGTAGACATACAGTAAATACTCGTTAACATGTCATGAGTGGCCCCAGGTAGCCTGAAGGAATCAGTGAACCTTCTCGAATATCTGCATTACAACCATTTATCCCCCACTACACAGTTACGTCTAGATAAAGGAGGAGAAACTCTAACCAAGTAATATTTAACATTTTTATTGCTTCCAGGATAAATTTAACTGGATGTGGAGGACCTGATAGTGGTAGCTTTATCAAGAATATCAGGGAGAATGGTTTTGATGCTACAGGAAAAGTCAATTCTTGTCCTTTTCACTTGACTCCAGCTATCTACCAGGCTCATTGCTAACTGCAGGTTTTGCCCAAGATATTTATATGAAATATCTCAGTGTAAAACAGGAAATTGCAGGTTATTTGAAAACAATGATAAAGAAAACCCAAATGAGAGACTCCCTTTCTATAATTAATTTTCCTGAGAGTCAGGCGTGTCTTTGAGGACAAGCTTTTGGCTGTATTATTTTTGTGCACAGGAGGAAAATTGTTAGTAGGTTTATATATATTATTTTTATAATAGAATGTTAAACTCCCCCAAAACATCAAAAATTGTCTCCTAGAACTACTCTATGTTTTTGAAACTTGTTTTAACAAAGGATTCTAAATAGCAATAGGGTCTTTTCTCCTTTCTCCACTCCAATGGTTTAATGGGGTAGATGAACCAATGTTTATATTTTTAAACCTGTAAATATTTTATTTTGGGTATTTTGTATATTTGTTGATATAATTCCATTTTGTGCATATGTATCATTGTGCATGTTGCCGTTTTTGATAGTCACTCTTAATGAATGTAAGAAGCTTGGACTAATAGCACTTTTCTTGTTTCATTCAAACATCTTAAATTGAAAATATGACACTGCCATTTTAACTGTTGTGTTTAAGTCAGTCAATAAATTTCGTTACTCCTTTACATTTAAAGTGATTTCCATTGGTTGTTATTTTTCCAGGATGAATTTTATTTCCGTCTTCTTCAATTTTTAGAAGGTATACTAATGATGATGATAATGATGATGCAGTGTGTGTGTGTGTGTGTGTATGTGTGGTTGGTGAAAATACTAATGGGGAGGCCCTTATTTCTTTCCACACTTTGTAAACAAGTGAAAAATTATTGTTTGGTTTGGGCAGTTGCCTTTTGAAAAGCTTATTTGTTATTCTGACTCTGCTCTGATTTCTGAGCCTTTTACTCAGAAAATCTCCATTCCTTGTAAGCCCATGTGAGGCCAGCCAATCGCTGTGGCTGTTAGGAACCAGCCAATTAGAGTCTTTCTAAAGAGTTGTTTTCTGTTTTTACTTTGCTTTGTTTTGGGGGGTGTGTTTTCATTTCATATGTCTCATAGTTCAAATCCATCGTATTTTGAAACTCAATCTGAAGAATAATGAGGTTGTACCATTTTATGCTTAAAAAATAAGGATTAAAGACTGCATAAATTGTTTTGAAGCGTACCTCCCTTAAAATAAGCTTGTTCACACTGCAATTGCTTACATTTCTCTCTCTCTCTCTCTTTTTTTTAATGCTTTTCTTGTGAGGAAGATTGACTCTGAGCTAACATGTACTGCCAGCCTTCCCTCTTTTTTTTTTCCTCCTCACATCCCTGGTACATAGCTGTATATCCTAGATGTCAGTCACTCTAGTTCTTCTGTGTGGGATGCTGCCACAGCATGGCCTGATGAGCAGCGTGTAGGTCTGCGCCCAGGATCCGAACCTGTGTACCCCGGGCTGCTGAAGCAGAATGCACAAACTTAACCACTACACCATGGGGCCAGCCCCCACATTTCTCTTAAATAACAAGAAAAATTCATGCTTATCTGTAGAACATGATGAGGATAAACTTCTAAAAGGAGATCTGATTTGTCACAGTAAATAGTCATCAGCAGAATCACAAATAGTGACATAAGAAATGCACAACCCTCCACACTCTTTCTGCTTTTCCTCCCCTTTCTCCCAGCCCCTTGGTCTTCCCTTGTCTTCTTTTCTTTTCTTAGAGTTAACATAGAAGTCATCTCAAAATAACTTAACCCAGTCTCCCATTCACGAGGCGAGGAGGAAACTAAAGCTCAGAGCTTCTGGGAGACTGACCCTGAAGTCTTTGAGGTAGGAAGCTGTGGTAAAAAGAGACCAAGATTGGGAACCAAATGGAATCTGGGTTCGAGTTCTGGTTTGGACACTTATGAGCTCTGTGAGTCCAGGCAATCTCCTTAACTTCTGTGAGCCAGCTTCTCCTTAGCTTCTGTGAGTTTCCTCCTCTACAGAATGAGGATAAGGAGATTTAATTTATAGGGTAGTTGTACCATTATTAACTATCAAAGAGATAGGTGTCTAAGATATAGCATATTTTTTGTATATGCTAACTTAGCCACTTTTGTTAAAAAAAAAAGAGACATAAAAATTAAAACTTGATGGGTTGGACTTGAAATATTCTTGAACAGAGAACTTGCTTTGATGTAAGGTAGCGATCAATATGGACTTCTCAGACAGGGGTGGACTTCTAGAGTGGTGAAGCACACTTATATAAAAATGGGAGCAGGGGCAATCTTGAGTGTGTTATTCTGAGATACAAAAGCCTACATATGGTTAGGAGAGATGGGGGAAAACCCTAGTCTTTGTGGAAGAAGTCAAGGGTAGTAGCTGAGTTAGTTGGGGAGTTGGCAGCAAAAAGAGCAAAGATCAGACACAGTGGTGGTCAAATCAGAATGGAGCTTACTCCCCAGACACCTAACATTGGGTCATCAGACACAGTGTGACCATAATGGAAGGCAGAGAGCTGTGTGGTTTAGTACAGTGGGAAGAAATCATTGGTGCATTTAACCTGAAAAAAATTTAACTATATGGGCTTGAGAGATAGAAAATAATTTAAGCGAGAGAGCAATTGCTTCTGCCATTTCAAGCAACGAATGAGCAAGGCTTGTGTTCTGAATTGGCCTCAGTTCCTGAACACTTGTCACAGAATGGGCATCCCTCTGCCCTGAGTGGGAAGTGACATTCTGGAACTTAATGGTAACACTGTTTTCATACAATATGGCACCCAAACTCAGAGCAATGACATCTAGTGCTGGGTCAGAGAAACACCACCTATTGTGACACTGAGGCCACACTGGGCATACTGATGGATGGATGTCAGTCTCCAATGTGGGCTTTCACAGGGGAGTTTGAAAAGTATACGTAATTTTCACCTTTTATGCTATTTTCACTCTGTGGAGAACTTCAAGCTAAAAGTTTAGAGTCCTGAGGAAGCAACTGTGAACCAAAGAGGGGTGAAAACATGTATGTCAGAAGGAAGAGTTTAATGTCAAAAATCTAAAGCAAGAGAACAAAGCAATGGAAAACCGTTCCATCTATGCTTTGAACCCGCAGACTCCTGCACACTCTAGGATACGTTAGGCACCCATGAACAAGCAGCAGTGTTGGGTGACAAGTAAAGTGATGGGAAAAGGGATATTCCCAGGAGAGAATAGAAGCATGGGCAAAAGCCAGGGCCCTGGGCTGCAGGCACGTCCTTTTCTCCTTGCTATTCCCAGGTGTAGGCAGCAAAGTGTGTATTCATGTTGGATCAGGGCATGGGTCCCCATTTCAGATCAGTCCTTTTATATTTTTCTGGCTTCTAGGTCTATGATTTGAGAGGTTGGTTTCCCTAAGATCCTTACACCCCATATTCTGGGTAAAGTGACCCAGAGTCACTTTAAAATTTTAAAATGCACATTTTAATAACTTATGGATCAAAGAATAAATGAGGATAAATATTAGAAAACAATTAGAAGTGCATAATTATGAAGCAATATATTAAAACATGAAGGTACTTTGGATGGTTGTTCTCAGTGCCAGAAGCTGCCTCTGTGTCGGCTCTGTTGTTCAGTGTGTGTAGGCACTTTTTGGAGGACTTTGGTTCTCTTGGGCAGCTAAGGGACAACTCTTGCCAGGTGCTCAAGTGCTCCCAGGTCCGATGTCACAGTCTTGTTGCAGCTTTCCATATAATGAAAAAGTCATATCCATTATATGAGATGGTAAATGGATTTGTGCCATTTGTTTCGGCTCCACAAATATTGAGTACTTAATGTGTTGGGTTCTGTGCGAAGCATGGCGGGTGTCGGTGAGATACAACACTGGCCCCTCTGCTAAGGCCACTTAAATATCCCAATAAACTCCATGTGTGCAAATCTCTGTCTTGGTGTCATTTCCTGGGAAACTCCAACCTCAGATATTATTATTTCCATTTTCCAATGTAAAAGTGAAGCTTAGAGATCTTAAGTGTTTCTGGCAATACAGAAGGTTAGATAGAGTTAAAAAAATTTTCTTGACAGAACACTTAAAAATGCCAGACAAGATTAATTTTTATTTCTTTAAATGCATAGTTGAGTTATCAAGGAAGGGAGGCCAGTAACCCCTAGATGTAACTACTGATGCTTAGAGGCCCAGAACTTTGGGTTCGATGGCCGGAGAATGGGCTAGGGAGCATAGAGGAGTTAGTGAAATCCACAATCAGAGGGGAAGGACTGTTGTGTGGGTCTTTGTTGGTCATTGAAAGATGAAGCGGCACAAAATCAGTAATGATAAAGATTTGAGCAACACATTTGGACATCTATATAAACCTGGACCAAACAATTAAAGAATGCACATGCTTTTCAAGTGCAAACAAAACATTTATGAAAACTGACTACATCCTAAGCCATAAAGCATGTCTTAACACATTTCAAAAAATCACTTCCATGCAGAACAGGTTTTTTCCCTATAATACAACATGCCAGAAATTAGTAGCAAAAAGATTGCTAAAACCACTCCATACATTTGGGAAAATTTTAAAGTGCACCTTTTAATAATTTACGGATCAAAGAATAAATGAGGATAAATATTAGAAAACAATTAGAAGTGCATAATTATGAAACTATATTAAAACATGAAATATGGCTAAAGGTTAGAAGGAATTTTACAGCCTCAGATGCTTAGATTAAAAAGATAAAAAGGTGAGATTAATGAGTTAATAATCCATTTTAACCAATTATAAGAAATTAGAAAAAGAATAACAGAATAAACCCATAGAAAGTATGATTAAGAAGTAACATAGATAAGAGCAGAAAGTAGTGAGACAGAAAACAAAGATACTTTAAAGTGGATCAACAAAGACAAAAATTGATTCTCTTGAAAAACATCTAATATTATTTATTAAGAAAAAATAGAGAGATGATATAAGTAAGGTTCAGAATGAGAAGATGGGCATAACTACAGTTACGGCAGACATAAGAAGATAAAGAATGCCATAAATAAAGTCATGCCAATGTCGATGCAAATAATCCATAACCAACCTATAAATCAGAATTGGGGTGAGTTTATTATGAGTCAGAGTGAGGATTATAACCCAGGAAGGGCTTAGAAGGCGTTGCAGAGAAGCTTGGGTTTCAGTCTTATATCTGAAGTATAGTCGTATATTTTTTTAGAACAAAGAAGATACATTAAACACACCCAGGATACATTTTCAAAGAGGTATTCAGTTGCAAATTAGCAAGTCAACATGACCCTGATGCCAGGAAAGGGACTAATCTGGAGCATTACCAATAGAGTGTTACCAACAGGGCATAGGAGGGGAAGTGTGCATTCTTTATCTCAAGAGAGTGCATTCCTTACTTTAATGGATAAGCGGATGTACAATGTATATTTGATAGGCCGTAAGTCAGGCTTTCTAGTTCAAGCCGAATCAGTTTTGAACTCGAATAGCTACCCCATGTAACTCAATATGTGCAAATCTCTTGTCACCAATAAGTTTTAAAATTTAGACAAAATATCCATATTCCAAAAATAAATAAATAAATTGCCAATGTGACTTGAAGAAATAGCTAACCTAAAAAGTCCTAAAACCATTAGAGACATTGAGTTGGTAGTTGAAACTCTCCCTCCTTTTCCAAACAAAACAAAACAGTAAAACCAGATGGCAG